TTTCTTTTTTTAAAAAAAAAAAAAAAAAAAAAAAAAAAAGAGATCACTCGAGAGTGATCGCGCGCAACCATCGTCGTGGTGATCACCTTTTACGAATAATATCAATCAAATAGGACAACATTGCATCGGACAATCGCATTTGAATTTTCTTCGTATCGCGGTCGCGGGCGATCTTTCGCGATTTCTCGCCTCTCCCCCTTTTTGTTTTTTATTCTGTATTTTTTCTTTTTTTTTTTTTTTTCTTGTTCTCCTACGATCGCTGTCCTCGCAACTTTAGCAATATTTCACATTCAAATACTGCCGTTCAATTATTCGGCCTTATAGTAATGTCGTCTCGTTCACTCGGTCTCACATTCACGCCGTAAACCGTGACTTCCCTCTTCCCGTATGCTACTTCGTCTACTTTCGACCTATCTACGCGAATATCTACTTAAATCTGCGTGTTTCTATACAATTCTGTGAATAGGTATTTAAAAGTTACGCGTACCACATAGACCTATAATACCATATAGGTTCGATATGAGTTACTCGTTTTCAGATACGAGGGATTACTTTGTAAAATAGGTACGTAATATATAATTATATCTTCGAATAGGCGGTGATAAATGTTAACGACGAAGTAACAATACAATATTGCTCGATTCCGTATTTTATAATATATATATATATACATATATATATATATATATATATATATGTATATAATATTTATGACAATATAACAACATTATCCGCTCACAAATAAAGTAGTCTCCTCTTGCACCCGACTCTCTCTCTCTCTCTCTCTCTTTCGCTCGTTTTCTCTCATTCTCTTTCTCTCTTCCTCCTCCCTTTTTTTTTTTCTTTTTTAAAGGTCTACGTAAGAAGGGGGCTCACCGCGCTCGTTCCGTAAATATATGCATGTGTATGTTTGTATCATATGTATATATATATATATATATAATCTTTATATATATTTATACTTATTTTTATAATCGTTTGTATATTTCTTCTCCGCGTCAAAGTAAATAATTACGATAGGCCTAACGATCTCGAGTAACAATCATAATCATCACCATCATCTATATCATTTGCTCTATATTTCTCTTGTTCTCGTTCTCGTTTTCTCTCTCTCTCCCTCTCATTCATCCATTTTCTCTATTCCTGCGTTCACCACCAAATTTCCTCTCTCAGTCTCTCTTTTATTCCTCTTTGCACGTTCGTCCGGCGAAACGTCCAAGGAGCTTTGCAAGCTATCGGCCACTATTTCTCTCTCTCTCTCTCTCTCTCTCTCTCTCTCTCTTTCTCTCGCGCGCGCAACTTCACTCGTATTCACGTTAATGAAAAAAAGCAAACGAACAAGCGAAATCGAAAGGAGCTACACGTAATATATTTCCTTTCTTTTTTTCTTTTCTTTTCTTTTCTTTTCTTCGTGCTCGATTCTTAACACAGCGCGCGATTCGAGGGTTGGTACCATTTATAATATTTATACAGTATCGACATACATATACATATGCACATATGTATATGTATATATATATATACACACGTGTCTGTGTGTGTGTGTGTGTGTAATTAATTTATTAAATTCAGAATAAAGTTTACATATATATATATACATACATACATACATACATACACACATATATATATATGTATATATATATGCATATATATATAGTTAAGTAGTACGTGTATCGAAATCATCTCATGCTTATCGACGATATGCTAAGTACGGTATATAACATACGTATTTTTTTTCTTTCTCTTCTCCGGATGTGGTCTACATAAAAAAATCTGTTCGTGCTCTTCGTTTGTTCATTCTCTCTCTCTCTCTCTCTCTCTCTCTCTCTCTCTCTCTCTCTCTCTCTCTCTCGCTCGCTCGTTTTCGCTTTTCTACGCACTAATTTTGATGCTACTTTGTATTGAGGGGGGGGGGGGGTGATCACGTCAGCGCTGACAGCATTTCTGTTCTCTGTCTCTATGCGTTTTCTCTTAAAGCTAAAGAGGTAAGTGTAAAGATGCTGAATACTGTTAAGGCTGACAGCTGCTTCGAGAAACGTCCCTTGTCCGCAGTGTGTCTAATCCGCGGTAACCACGTCGTGGTTATTTATCTCTACTTCAAAAGTTACAAATTATCGCGTACAGCGTAATCAGGCTACGTCTACGCGTTTTGCAAATTGCAAGTTGTTAGCAAAGAAAAAAAGGAAAGTGACCGAACGACGGCGATCACGCGTTCGCTAGTAGATGAACATTGAGAACAAGAAGTAGTAAGTGCGAATGGCTGGCTGCTGGATACTCGCCGGCCACGAAACAGAAAAAACTGGGGAGAACCTGGGTAAGAAATCCCTCGGCGCCGTGGCGACACGACGTCGTATAAGTACAATGGGCTATACTCGTTCATTCGTTCTTTCGCTCGTATAGTACAAAGTAGAGGTACTTCGCTTCGTGTAAATACAATAATGTACAATCTTTTGTTTTTTTTTTTCTTTTCTTCTTCTTCTTCTGTTTTTTTTTTTTTATTTTTTTCTAAATTCTCTTGTCGTGTCTCTTCGTATATCTGCACCATCCTATCGCATTCGTGGCTTCTTTCGTTTTGGAGTTAAACCTTACAGTGATAAACCCCCGGCGCGTTGAGCGTGCGCGGGACCGCAAGAAACGGGATCGATCTACGCTCTATGGTCGACAGATAAAACGATGAACAAAATTCTATCTACACATTTAACGCCCTCTTCTTTCCCTTTCATCCTCTTCATCCCCTCTCTTCCAGATCTCCTCCTCGACGACATCGTCTTCGTTGCTTGGATTATCAATTTCTTCTTCCGCCACCATTTTTGTCTCCGCCTCCACCACCTTCTTCATCCTTTCTCTTTTCTCCTCCCTCTCCTCTATTGTACAGGAGGCACCACTCTACGCTCTCTGCTCCTCTTCGTACACCTCGACTCGCTGCTGCCGCGCTAAACGTCCTTCTCCGCTTCTCTTTACCTCGTCCCGTCCGTCGTCATCCCTTTTCCGGTTTTTCTCGAGCTCTCGCGAGGAGGCGAGATTGAATTTCGTTGAATGTAATATAGCACGATGTTCGACGTGGAGCGTAATGGGTACGTGTCGAGAGAAAAAAGGAAGAAAAAAAAAAAAAGAGAATAGTAAAAAAGCGAATAACTCGATCGCTTTTCGAGAGAAACCTAATTGCCGCTTACTCGACATGGGGGGCAGGGGGGGGGGGGCGATATAATTTCCCTCGATCCATCCGATATAGATGTTCGCGTTCTTCGAGCATGGTAAATCTCGCACGTACAGATATATGTATATCGCGAGGCTAGCACGCTCGCTACGACCTACTAGAGCTGCTTGGAATTACCGCGCGCGGCACGCGCGTGTGCTCTGAGACAAACACACACACACATACACAACCGCACGCAACTCTGCTCGTCTAACTAACGTAATGTATCGATCTACTGTACACGGATATTTTGGTCGTAACGCTAATCGTGATAACAAATTACATGTTACGTATTATCTAAAAGAGGAGGGGGGGGGAAGGGGTCAACTCGCTGTGCGTACGTATCGTTCACATGTGCTCACTCCCACACGCTGCGTGATCTACGCTTCTCTTCCCTTTCTCTTTCTGTTCTGTATTTGTTCCGTGTGTGTATGGGTGTATCTCTAATTTCTCTCTGTACACTTCTCAACAGATGTATGCGCGTCAATATGTATATGTATATATATATATATGTGTATGTATGTACGTATATATATATATCTATGTACGTACGTATATATGTATGTATGTATCTATGTATATATGTACGTACGTACGTATGTATGTACCTATGTGTGTACGTACATACGTATGTATATATGTATGTATGCATCTATGAGTGCTCGTACGTACGTACGTGTGTATGTATCTATTAGTGTACGTACGTACGTACGTATGTATCTATGAGTGTACGTACGTATGTATGTATCTATGAGTGTACGTACGTATGTATGTATCAGTGTGTGTACGTACGTATGGATGTATCTATGAGTGTGCGTACATATGTATGTACGTATGTATGTATGTATCTATGTATGTACGTACGTACGTATGTATCTATGTATGTACGTACGTACGTACGTATATATGTATGTATCTATATATGCATGTAGTATGTACGTACGTACGTATGTACGCATATATGTATGTATCTATGTATGTACGTACGTACGTATGTGTCTATGTATGTACGTACGTACCTATGTATGGTCGTATATATGTTTCTACGTATGTACGTATGTGTCTATGTATGGACGTATGTGTGTATGTGTGTATGTATGCGTGTATGTAATACAGGATCGATTGGATTTGCCGCGTGCGTGTGTAACGATGCAGAGAACTACAGCGTGTGTGCGCTCCCGTCCAACTGACGTTGTCACACTCCTGTGTAATATGCTTTTATTTTCGTTAACGGCGGGTAATCTTTAACCCTTAAACAGGTGCACGATACTTGACGCAATTCGTCCATTTTTTTTCTGTTTTTTTTTTTTTTTTCTTTCAGCTACAGGATGTCTAGATATATTTCTTTCTTTGTTTTTCCGTTAATGCTCTTTTTCTTACTTTAGAAACTTTTTAGATAAATCGTTAAAAGTGTAAACGCTATATCACGAGAGGAAGAACTTGGATAAACGTGCAATTATGACGAAAAAATCTTTTTGCTTGCTTTCTCTCTCTCTCTGTCTCTCCCTCTCTTTCTCTCTACTTTCTCTCCCTTTTTTCACGTGTTCTCTTTTTTTTTTTTTGTCTTTTTCTCGTGAACGTTTCTCGTTCGTCTTTTAAAAAACTCTACCGGATCACTGAATTGACTTGACGACGTTGCGTCGACATTTTCGTTACGTGTAAATATTATTCGTAAATAAACTAACTTTCTCTCTCTCTCTCTTTCTCTCTCTCTCTTTCTTTCTCTCTTCTAATTTCCGCCTAAGTATTTCTAGATTTAAAGATGAAAATTTGCCCTCTTAAGGGTTAAAGATGATGTTCGTACAGGTACGCCCGAGCAGAATTCGTTGAAAAGATCACTCGATGGTAGTCGAACGTAAAAATGAAGCAAAAGGTGGGGAAACCACAGAGATTCGTAAGAAAATAAATAGAACGGTCGAAGAATCTTCAGTGTGTGCCGAATGATTACGACGGTTAGAACAAGTAAACGCAGTAATAGAATGGTCAGAAATTTATTTCTCAGTACGCAAGTAGCTCTTTCAAAGGCGGACAACGAACAACGGTAAGTCGGCTAACCGCGAGTTCAAAAACGAAAGCCGATGAGAACGACTCCTCTCCTCGCCGTACGTGTATCCTACGTAACGTACGCGTATTATACTATTTACAGATTATTCGCTAACTAACTAACTAAACGGTTGAACAGAACGAAGAACGTAGAATGATATCGACGTAAGGACGGAAGCAAAAAGAAAACAAAAAGAGGAGAACGTATCTATAAGAAGTTGTCACTCGTTACTTCGATCGCCTATTTTGTCAACTCGTCTCGGCTAAAGGTTTCACGATGACCTCGAGGTACGTAGCGTATATAAGTAAATAGTAATAAATAAATTGCAAATACATGATTAGCACGATCAACTGAGAGTAACAACCGGTTGTGTGTGTGTCTGTAGCTGATAATCTTTTTTCTGTTTCTTTGTTGTAGACGCTGTGTACTGTTGTTGTTGTTGTTGTCATTGTTATTGTTATTGTTGTTGACAGTAGTGTAATTGTGGTAGTGGTTGTGACAGTGGTGATGGTAGTATTTGGTGCTGTTGGTGGCCGACGACGGGGTGCAGGTGGTCGAGAGTGGCCTTACTTGAGTAGCTGATGGGCTCGCTCGTTGGCCACCTTTATCCTCGTCTCGTTCGATTCGCCCTGCGTGCCAAAAGAACAAACAAACGAAAGATCGTAAAACGAAAAAACTCAAAGCGTGTGTCAAACATCATTGTTATTGTCGACCCCGTTTCTTTTTTTTTTTTTTTCTTTCAACT